GGTCTGCTCATCACCCATATCTGCAGCTACTGGAGACGTTAATCCATCCCTTTGTATCGGCGGCAAGTTAATCCTTGTGTCTGACCTAACACCTGACCCACATCATCACGGCCACGTCATGAGCTACGTACACCCTTGCTATGCGCCCCCCCCCCACACACACAACCTGTAACCTGTTGAGGATTAAGGAAACAACTTCAAACAAGCTGCTCATGTGGTGTGGGTCAGGTGTTAGGTCAGACATGACGAGGATTAACTTGCCGCCGATACAAAGGGAAGAATTAACGTCTCCAGTAGCTGCAAAACCATGCAGTCTCGGGTCATATCAGTTCATGTACAGCCGACCAATCCACCAGTTACAAGCAATTCACTTCAGTTCTCCACAAGTCTCCATCGTGACAAGACGAGGGGAGGCTAGACGACTTTTAAGTTCTCTTGTGTTTTCGATCCAGTTATTTACTTCGTTGGAAGACATAATACTATAAGGTAAGAAATATTAAAGTATTGGTTAAAAAATATTGATGTGACTTTTGCTGCGGTACTGAGATTAAATATTAAGATTTTGTTTCACAGCATTGCGATTTTATACTAAGACACTATCCTCACTGGGGTACAGACAAAAGCCCCCCAGACGAAAGCCACCCAGACAAAAGCCCCCCATATATATATATATATATATATATATATATATATATATATATATATATATATATATATATATATATATATATATATATATATATATATATATATATATATATATATATATATATATATATATATATATATATATATATATATATATATATATATATATATTCCCATTTCATCCACAAATATTTATAGTTTATAAAATTAATATAAATTTATTTCATACAGAACCTCAATAAGCCTTTATCTTATGCAGTACCTCTATGAAGTTATGGTGTTCACGGGTGGCAAGGAGGAGGCAAGCACCACCAGCAAGGTACAGTTCATTCTCACGGGAGAACGAAGTGAAACAGATGTAAGGACTTTTGCTGACCCGGAGCGATTATTGTTCAAGAGAAATGCCATTGATATATTTGTTATGACTGTTCCCGAATGCCTCGGTAACATTCAGTTCCTTAGGATCTGGCATGACAACAGTGGCAAGGTACAGTATTTATTTGTAGTTTATATGCAGTATTTGTATATCTTGATTGGATACTTTATTTACCGTAAATCTCTTATGGAATACTATACATTGATTTTTTGGTGTATTTTCTTTCTTTTTAACACCTTCTGTCAGGTTATTATATCCATATCTTTGGGTTATCCTTATTCATACTTGTGAAATAGGTTCACAGGCTAGAATTTGATGGTAAGTAGTAATCCAGCTTAGTCCAAGGGTAGTGTAATGTCAAAGAGGCTGGGGAAGACTTTTGTTTTAGTCTATTGAATAATTAAGTAAATTCATGGCTTCAAACATTCCTTTGTGTAGCTAGGGAGAGCATCAAGTGCATGCAGCAGTGTTTGGAGGGACTTCCATTTCACTTTTTTTTTATATATATATATACCTGTACAACATACTGTTAGTACTGTATTTTCACACAGTATAAAAAGCAGTTTTTAAGTATAGCTTACGCCCTGCACTGATTTTAAACCTTGATCTATACATTATAGGCCTTCTGGCTTGTCTCTCAGGGGTTACTTCCCCAAACCTCTTATTTCCCATTGTTTTGCCAACCACGGGAGAATTTTAGAACATAACAAGCAAAATAGGAAACAAGATCTCTTTGACCTTTAACATTACAGTACCCTTGGACTGCCCTAGATTACTAATTACCAATCAATTTCTAGTTGCGGCTTATTCTTAAAGAACTCGTTTCATTATTATAATAATGATAATAAATATACTACATACAGCTTTCGGCAGTGTACCTCTTGAAAGGCTGAAAATTAAACTGGAAGGGTACACAATTGGGGAAATTTCCTCGCGTGGATAGAAGATTTTCTACATGATCGCAAGCAGTGCGTGGTGGTTTATGGCACGAAATTATCATCTGTACCTGTCACAAGCGGGGTACCACAGGGTAGTGTATTGGACCTGCTGTTGTTTGTTTGTTTCATAAATCACATGCCTGACACTGTACACTCCTCCATACAAATGTTTGCGGATGGCGCCAAGTTATTTCGGGAAATCAAGAACCAAGCGAACTGTGAAGAGCTGCGGAAGGATCTCTGTGAGCTCCAAGAATGGCCAAAGAAATGGCTGCTGACATTCAATATCACGAAGTGTAAAAGGATGCACCTAGGGTGTATCGACGGTAAGGACGCGTATCATATGTCCCAACGGGATGAAGTAACTGCACTATTTGAGACTGAATGTGAGAAGGACCAAGGTGTGTATGTTGACAATGAGCTGAAGTTCTCGGGCCATTGCGAGAAGAAGGTAAATCAGGCAAATAAATTATTGGGTCTTATAAGAAGGTTGTTCAGATATCTAGACGTCCATCCCTCGTAACAATCTTCAAGAGTGAAGTGCTTCCCCATCTGGTGTACTGTCACCCCGTCTGGTCCCCGAGATATGCTAGGGACTGTCAGTTGGTTGAAAATGATCAAAGGAGGGCCACCAGACTGGTGCCTGCACTTCGGCACCTCAGCTACCCTGAGAGATTGGAGTTCCTGAACTTGCCTAGCTTATACTACAGTCGGGTAAGGGGCTACCTAATTGAGGTGTATAAACATCTCAGAGGGCACTACTCAGTTGAGTGTCCTTACTTGGAGCTGGTGGATGCTCGCCCCACAAGGGGTCACAGCTCAAGATTGAAGAAGCCGCAAGTCCAGAAAACTGTGAGGGCAAACTTTTTTGGAGTGAGTTTTGTGAACTCTTGGAACAATCTACCAGAAAGTGTTGTGACTGCACCGAGTGTGAGCTCTTTCAAGACCAGACTTGACCAACACTGGAGCAGGTTCAGGCACATTCAGGAGCCGATGCATGCCCAGTACTTGCCAACAGTGCGTAACAGAGACGTGACCGATCGCCCAAGCGGCTAACGAGCCAATCAGTGGTGAAGAGGATAAAAGTAAAGTAAAAGTAAACACTACCCACACACTCCAATTACTAAGCCACTCTCTCTCTCTCTCTCTCTCTCTCTCTCTCTCTCTCTCTCTCTCTCTCTCTCTCTCTCTCTCTCTCTCTCTCTCTCTCTCTCTCTCTCTCTCTCTCTCTCTCTCTCTCTCTCTCTCTCTCTCTCTCTCTCTCTCTCTCTCTCTCTCTCTCTCTCTCTCTCTCTCTCTCTCTCTCTCTCTCTCTCTCTCTCTCTCTCTCTCTCTCTCTCTCTCTCTCTCTCTCTCTCTCTCTCTCTCTCTCTCTCTCTCTCTCTCTCTCTCTCTCTCTCTCTCTCTCTCTCTCTCTCTCTCTCTCTCTCTCTCTCTCTCTCTCTCTCTCTCTCTCTCTCTCTCTCTCTCTCTCTCTCTCTCTCTCTCTCTCTCTCTCTCTCTCTCTCTCTCTCTCTCTCTCTCTCTCTCTCTCTCTCTCTCTCTCTCTCTCTCTCTCTCTCTCTCTCTCTCTCTCTCTCTCTCTCTCTCTCTCTCTCTCTCTCTCTCTCTCTCTCTCTCTCTCTCTCTCTCTCTCTCTCTCTCTCTCTCTCTCTCTCTCTCTCTCTCTCTCTCTCTCTCTCTCTCTCTCTCTCTCTCTCTCTCTCTCTCTCTCTCTCTCTCTCTCTCTCTCTCTCTCTCTCTCTCTCTCTCTCTCTCTCTCTCTCTCTCTCTCTCTCTCTCTCTCTCTCTCTCTCTCTCTCTCTCTCTCTCTCTCTCTCTCTCTCTCTCTCTCTCTCTCTCTCTCTCTCTCTCTCTCTCTCTCTCTCTCTCTCTCTCTCTCTCTCTCTCTCTCTCTCTCTCTCTCTCTCTCTCTCTCTCTCTCTCTCTCTCTCTCTCTCTCTCTCTCTCTCTCTCTCTCTCTCTCTCTCTCTCTCTCTCTCTCTCTCTCTCTCTCTCTCTCTCTCTCTCTCTCTCTCTCTCTCTCTCTCTCTCTCTCTCTCTCTCTCTCTCTCTCTCTCTCTCTCTCTCTCTCTCTCTCTCTCTCTCTCTCTCTCTCTCTCTCTCTCTCTCTCTCTCTCTCTCTCTCTCTCTCTCTCTCTCTCTCTCTCTCTCTCTCTCTCTCTCTCTCTCTCTCTCTCTCTCTCTCTCTCTCTCTCTCTCTCTCTCTCTCTCTCTCTCTCTCTCTCTCTCTCTCTCTCTCTCTCTCTCTCTCTCTCTCTCTCTCTCTCTCTCTCTCTCTCTCTCTCTCTCTCTCTCTCTCTCTCTCTCTCTCTCTCTCTCTCTCTCTCTCTCTCTCTCTCTCTCTCTCTCTCTCTCTCTCTCTCTCTCTCTCTCTCTCTCTCTCTCTCTCTCTCTCTCTCTCTCCTCTCTCTCTCTCTCTCTCTCTCTCTCTCTCTCTCTCTCTCTCTCTCTCTCTCTCTCTCTCTCTCTCTCTCTCTCTCTCTCTCTCTCTCTCTCTCTCTCTCTCTCTCTCTCTCTCTCTCTCTCTCTCTCTCTCTCTCTCTCTCTCTCTCTCTCTCTCTCTCTCTCCTCTCTCTTCTCTCTCTCTCTCTCTCTCAACATAATTAACTGATGCACAAGTGTGTGGCTGTATGGTGGCAGGTTAAAGATTAGCTGTTAAGGAGCTCTTGGCAACACTCAATCTCTCTAATCATCCACACCTTGCTGTTATGTATTGTAATGTTGAAGGGGTACAAAGTTGCTCACCTACACTCAATTTTGTGTGTAGGTATCAGCTGTTCAATAGCATCCGGCAGTGCTGCTGGAGCAGTGTTACCAAAGAAACTGATAGACGCATCACTTCCTCATCACTTACCTCCTTTACTACCACCTACATCATAATTTATGTGATGCAGAGATGGATTAGCTTCAGCCAGAGCCGAGCTGTATGATATCCACTGCCTCCAACCCTCCCTCCTGCCAGCCTCCCTCCCTCCCACCTCCTTCCCCTACACCCCAATTCAGTGACCATCACTACCTCAGACCCCCCACACCCACCACCCTCCTTCCTCTACCCCACAATCCCATCCCACTTCCTCCTTCCCCTCCCAAGGTCGCATGCTAACTACCGTGGACATATATGTTTATATTTATGTTTTCGACTTTATAATAATCATTTATTTTATTTCTATTGTTTACACATTCCTTATGAACAATTGTGTGTGCATGCACCAGAGCAAAAGTTATTTAATAAAATACAGTACAGTACAGTACAATACAGTGCATTACATATATCTACTCGAAATTATGAGTTGAAAAGTAACAACGACACAACTCAAGGTTGGCCCAGTTTCTCATTTGCAAATAAGCAGGGTTGCAATTATTGGAGTAGTGAATAGCAAGGTATTCCTGTACTCTTCTATAAAACTGTTATGCTTTCTCCAATTTAGGTTTATAAGGGGGGGGGGGGTTTGTTGGCAAAAGTTTCTATTTACATTCTACTCATTACTTTTTTCTATAGCTGTGTAAGAGGGATTTTTAGTCTCTAGTTATCTTTTCTTTAGTATCTATAATAATTTCATATACAGCTACTCCCCGACTTACGACGGGGTTAGGGACCCAAATCCAGGTTGTAAGTCGGAATGGTCGTAAGTTGGACATAGGAAAAAAAACAGTACATTATATCTACAATGAAGTACAGTACAGTAAAAGTAATACAGTGTGATTGAGCACTTACCTTTAATGTAGTCAGCTGAATGCACACAGGGCCCTCATAATTTTCTATTTACAGGAAACATGGAGACTATATTAAATGGATGAAGCAGAGGAGACAGGGCTGGGCAGGTCATCAATGTTGCTTTCTTCAGACAGGTTTATGTACAGGGGAAAATTGCTGGTTGAAGGTATTGGATCATCTTGAGGGAGTGAAGAGGCAGCACTGGTGGGGCGTGAGGAGACAGCAATGCGGGACTTCTTAAAATAGATGTTCAATTTAGACTGCAAAGTTTGTTTTTTCTTTTCATTATAAATTTCCCTGTAGCAAGCAAGTGCATCTTGGACCATTCTGTCAACTTTGGCAAAACGCTCATAATTTTGATCCATTCCGTCAAACATTTGCATCCCCTTATTAATTGTAGCAAATGCCTCTGACATTTGCTTCACTGAAAAATTTTTGGGGGGTGCAGGTCCTTTTTCTACATTTCAACTCTCTTCTTCCTCTGCATTTTTGTGTGCTTCCAGTTCAATAAGGTCCTTGTTACTGAGCTCTTCTGCTACACTTTCAACCAACTATTCAACATCTTCATTATCAATTTCTAACTGAAGCTGTTTACCTAACTCCACTATCTTGTTACTAGTCTCAGGAATTGCTTCATTTTCATTAAATCCTCTAAAACTGTTCACATATCTTTTCAGTGTTTTCTTCCATATTCCATTCATGCACTGTTGTGTAACCTGATCCCATGCTGCAATAATGTTCTTTATACATGTCAAAATGTTGTAGTCCTTCCAAAACTCTCTGAGCGTTTTCTCACCTTCAGTAGCAGCAACAGCCTGAGCGAAGGTCGTACGTAATTAATTTGCTTTAAAAGTAGCAATAGCACCTTGATTCATGGGTTGGATGACAGAGGTAGTGTTTGGTGGAAGGTAGACTACCTTAACATCAGAGTGCATGTCGTCCAGGTGTGGTGGGTGTCCCGGAGCATTATCTAAAATCAGCAAAATCTTGAATGCAATCCCTTGTTGAAGACAATACTCCTTGGCTCGAGGAATGAAACAATTCATGAACCAATCCTCAAACAGTGCTGAAGTCATCCAGGCTTTCTTGTTTCTGCAATAAAACACTGGCAGTGTGTGTTTGCTGACATGTTTAAAAGCCCTGGGGTTCTCTGAATGATAGATCATGAAAGGCTTGATCTTGAAACCAGCAACATTCCCCCCCCAACAGAAGTGTAATTCTGTCCTTGAATCCCGGCATTGTTTTCGCCTCTTTGTGGATATATGTCCGTTCAGGCATGCGCTTCCATAATATTCAAGTTTCATCGACATTGAATATTTGCTCAGGTAAATAATTTCCCTCCACGATGACATGATCTAGCTCCTCCTTAAAAGCTTCGGCAGCACCAACATCAGCACTAGCTGCCTCTCCACTCAGCTTGACATTATGTAAACTGTAGTGGTTCTTAAACCTTTGGAACCACCCATGACTTGCTGTGAAGGTTTGGTCGCACTCATCTCCTGCCTGCTCCTTCAGGCTTACGAACAGGCTTCTTGCTTTAGCCTGTAAGGCTTAAGGGTACATGCTTCTGTATTTGGTCTTCCATCCATATCACCAATAATTTTTCCATATCATGAAGAGGACCTTGTCTTTTCTTTGTAATTATAGTTCCCTTTATTGGTGTTGTTCCTTTCACTACATCACGAATACGTTCCTTGTCCTTCATAATAGTGAATATCGTCGAGTGCGAAAACCCTAGGTCACGTGAAATTGTTGCTACAGTTTTTCTGTTTTCATACTGCATTATTATCTTCATTTTCGTCTCAAAAGTCATTGACTGTCTCCTTTTCTTCTGAGCACCAACAGCACTCTCACTTCTATGCTTACCAGTCATTATAAAGTCAATTAAATACGAAAATAATGTCAGTACACTGCGAGATCAGTATAGGATACGACAGCCAAACACCAACTAAACGCTCTACTGCGTGGGAGCTGTACCCATGCGGTGACCCAAGCCACACTCTCGTACGGGATGGAAACGTTTTGGTATAGAAAATGCGCTCGTCATTTGAAAAAAAAATTGATCCCGACCGAGCGGTCGTATGTGCGGATGGTCGTACGGACAGAGCAGATCGTAAGTGCGGGTGGACGTAGGTCGAGTAGGTCGTAAGTCAGGGAGGAGCTGTACTACCAACTGAGTTCTAGTAAATGTTCCATGTTTTTCATTCCAAAATAACATGAGGTTATAAGTGATGGGTTAATATGTGTTGTTGACAAGTGTGTAAATTAACCATTTTATTTGTCAAACAAATAATATATTATTTGTTTAATGATGTAACAAGTACTGTACATATGAATGATCTACTCACAACCCACATAACGAGCGCTACCACTGGTATCATCAATATTTATGGTTACAATACTCAACATGAGATAACTATATTTCTGCTAATTATCCCCAATCATGTATAACAATAGTTCTTGGCACATATAACCCAGATTAGTGCACCTGGCAAGACTCGGTTACACTGGGTGCGGGAGCTGTTTACTACAACAAACAGCAGAAGCTCGCTGGCCAGTAGCGCCTGGGGTAGACTCGATGCAGTGTGTCTTTATACGGTGTTCCCTGGGTGCTCTTGTCCTTAGATTCTAATCTCGCCATATTAAAGACATTCTTCAAGGAACATCTTGCCCGTAGGCGGCTACCACACCTCGGTAGTGGTGACAACACAGACAGTGCCTGGAGATGTGTTGAGGAAGAGTCACGAGTGTGTTAAAAGGTCTAACTTCAACTACACATAACATACGTCTGGCAATGATACAGACGATACTTACGTTACTTTAATTATACTTGGCACATGATCATTTCTCTATGTTAAAACATGAACACTGATATTCACAAAATTCACTGAGTTAAACTGACTTAACATGGCGGTGGGAAACAAACGTTCACATACCTGGATATGCGATGAGGAAGAGTCACAAGCGTGTGAGTCTTCCTTGTGCATTCATTTATATATGGGCATCTGGCAACTCAGCCATGCACCAGACATGCCAGTAAGGCTAATTATGCAATTACAGAAATTACATTTAAATCAGCTGTTGTACATTTTGCTATGAAAATCAGTGTCATGGGTCCGGTGAATTTTCTTATGTCTATTTTTATAATCTAATCAGAGGTGAGCTTGCCAAGAAAAAGTTAAATGAACGTTATATACACACGCTTACAACACTATTTTTACAGGCTCAGCAAAACTACACACAAGGGCCCTCTGTGGGTATACGTTTAGATCTTGGAGATATAGAGTTTGACAGATTTATTCAGGAAATTAATTGCTTTCTTAAATAGACAACTGACAATAATCAAACTACAAATATCAGATTCTCTGAGGTTTGGGCATTAAAATAATCTAACTTCAGTAGTATTTGGAAACTCATGGGCAAGATTAGTGCAGTACTTCGTCATTCTTACTGGCAGACTCAACACTCACTTATTTGACAAGTTTTACTTACAATACATACAGTTGAAGCTTTCAATATCACTCACAAGGGATCTTGAATGTTTCATCTGTAATCAGACATATCTAACACAATATAATATCAATGGGTTCTTACTCAATTTCAATTCTACAAACATGGTATGAGCTCTGAAGAAATAACATAGTCTTGGAGATATATGAAATTGAGAGAAAACGTAGGTTCAGACGTCCTGAAGCAATAAGAAACTGGACGCCTCAGCTGGGGGACTATATAAAAAGGTCACAGCTACATGTTTTGTGGGCTATTGAGCGTAATATGAATCGTTTGATTTCACGTTAACTAACATGTACGACTGTGGTCATTACAGGGTGTCTTCAATCCAAGTAACTATTCCTTTTGACCCTGTACATTTGCTGGACTTGGAGTTACTCAAACCCACTTGGGTGTAAAGCTGAATCATTGGTCAATCTTCCTTTTTTTTCTTCTTCTTTTTTATCATTGACTGTGTAAAGATAGTTACTAAAGAAATGTTTGACAAAATTTACTCTTTCATTATGCTTTGAGCTGAAGAAAATATTTATTAATTTTATGTACTTCTTTTCATTAGGATAGTGAAGCTTCTTGGTACCTTCGCTACATCGTCTTCAGAGATGTCCAGACCGGTCAGAAGTTTGAATTTATTGCTAACTGTTGGTTTGCTGTTGAACATGATGACTTCCAGGTAAGAAATTATGACATGGTTACATAAAGAAAACATAAGTTACAAAATCCAATATAATGAACTCTCGAATTAGCGGAAAATTTTTTCGCTCAATTTAGTGAACAAGTTCACTAAATCGAGATTAATTCCATTAATACACTCAGACCTACAGAGTGAGGTGACATGCCAAACACTTACACAGCACACACATTAACAGCACTACTAAACCATTATTTTATAACATTTTTACTTTATAATTTCTATTTTATAATTAATTGATACATGATGGCTCGATTTGGCTACTTTTGCACTTAGATAACTGATCAGTGAATAAACCGGGGCATGTGGAGACACATTATACATTAGTGATGCCATGAAGCTTTGCAACTGCAACCACAACTAATAAAGGCAACGGTCCATCAAAATTTCTTACATGTAATCAAATGGAGCTGTTCACACCTAACCGGCACGTCACCATCACGTATTAATTTGGTTCCGTTCCGTCACATCTCGGTATCTCCAAGAGAATATTTTGACGTGATGAAACGTTTCCGTACCGAACCGTTTCCAATACGTTATGGATGGTGTGAACAGACACGCAGTCAGTAACAGTCCGTTTGAGCTAGAGAGCAGGCGGAAGGGTCTACAGCTTGATATAGGCCTAGTTGATTTATTCACTTTTATTTCACATCATGAACGAGCAGCTAATTGAACTGGTTCGCAGATATGAAGAACTATATGATATGTCCAACAAAAAATATAGCGATAATGTTTATTAGGACAGACTGTGAAAATCATAGGAGATGAACTAAACAAACCAGTTAAGAGGTTATCCTTTATTGTTATGTAACACTGCATTGTTTGATTTAACTAATCTTGAATAAACATTTACTCAAGCAGTCTACTGCCAAGGTATAGAGCCAGATGGGCTGTTAAAGAATTGATTAAATTTCTCTCTTACATAAAAGGCACTTTGATTGGCATTTCCCCCTTGTCCAGCCAAACCAGTAAAGTTATTTTCTAAATAGGCACGAAAAACAATCACAATGGACGTGAAATTAAATGTGATCACCCGCCTTCAGAGAGGAGAGCGTGTGTCCGAGGTTGGCCGCGTGCTTGGTTTAAGTGAGAGCACTGTTCATACCCTGTGTGGTATATGATGGTTCCCCTAACCTGTACCATTTACATGTATTCTTATGGGAAAATTATGTTTAATTTACGCCTTTTTGAATTAAGCGGTGGTTTTCAAGAACGTAACCCCCGAGTAAAACGAGAGGTGGGCGTATAAAGTACTTTTCTCTCATTATTCTGTAGTACAAATAATTGAAATCAGCCTGTGTAAATAGAACTCCTTAAATACTCTATTATCATTAAATTCTTAGGAAGGCGAGGGGAGGCACATAACCTCTACATATGATAGTGCCTATTTAATTTTTCTACCTATACAGTACTTTACTCTCTCACATTCACCTGGCCTTGTACTCTGTTTTTCACACTTGTTACTTTGTTCTCTTCTCATTACTGTAAAAATGTTTACCCAATATAGAGTACAATATATCATATTACCATCACCCCCAACAGATTGATAGACTTATTGCTGTGGCTGGAGAGGCCCAGAAGACAGAATTTAAACACCTTTTTGATACAAGATCTCACAAAAACTTATATGATGGTCACCTGTGGTTTTCTGTCTTTGCTCGCCCTGCGCGCTCCAGGTGAGTGCTTGTAAATGTTGAATTCAGTTATAACTATTTTATTTTGTTTCATACTTTGCAGATAATATGCAATGGAGAACATGATTTGTAATGAAGAAAAGTATGTTCCATTAAGAAGAGAGCTAATAAAATCCTTATTTATGCCATCAAAGTTCAGGGATTGTGGGCAGTAAATAATCACTCCAGTCCCATGTGGGAGCCTCATGGATGGACGCATGCATTGTTGAAGTTACCCTAGTACCACCAGCATATTCCTCATCCTTGTCACTCAAATTCCCTAACGATTCACTAACACCACAAGTCATAACTTGAGGAAAGTCATTGTCTTTACTTATGTCACTGTCACTCTGCATGGGACCTTTGTCTCCCAAATCAAATACTGTATAATAAGGTCAATTTTGTTCTGTGTAGGGGAGTGGGACATATGGGTGGAAGTGTATATCTTGACTCAGCCATGGTCCAGCCTATTCTAATGGTTGAGATGCCTACACCCACCTCATGGCAGGTGTGAAAAGGCTTCACAAATATGCTCAGGAAAAAAGAAAAAGCCATTTTTTTTTCTAAAAAACAGTTTTTGTGATATACAGTGGTCCCTTGGTTAACGAATACAATTCGTTCCACAAAGTCGTTCGTTAACCGAATCCATAATTCAATGGGTAATTGGTTCCAGCTCACAGAAAAGTACAGTATAGTCTCCATTACGCGGTCAATTGAACCCGTGGCGGTCCGCATAAAACGAGAAATGCGTAAACGAAATAGCAGAACATATGGGATTAATTGAAATAGAGACTGGGCCGACCCCCAAACTACACTTTTCAGACACAATACGTACGTTGTAGTAAAAATGACATCTTAATTTTATGATGGTATGTTCACACAATTAATATTTAAGAGAAATACAGTCGCTGGCTAATGTCCATTCAAATAATGGACTCAACACTCCCCCCCCCCTTCCCACACTCGCTGGATCCCTCCCTCCCTCCCTACCCCCCACCCTCCCTCCATACCAGAGAAATGTTTGGGTGAAAACAGTATATTTACATTTTTAGTAATAAATAATACCTTAGACTAAAGTTAGGACAATATAATTGACATTGCTGGATTCCTTGCAGGACAGGGAATATTTTGAATGTAAATGTCATATATTTTGCGCAAAAGATAAAATTTTTGCTCATTTTCATCATCATCTTAAATTACATCTAAAATTTGTACAGGTTGTATCTCTCTAGTCCCGCATTCTGTGGTCCGGAACGATTTTAGTTTGTCCAATAGGTAGATAGGCAGCTTTTTTTCTTTTTTTTTTACTTATCTGAATTATTATTATTATTACAGGAGTATTAAATTTTTGCCCCTCAGGCCCCAATGTGGGTCAGTGACCTATGCCCGGGTGGGCTAATCCCCTTAAAAAAAAAAAAGCCGCGGGAAATTAAGGTTTATTTACATCCGGCAGTTCGGCTGCACTCTCTCTCTCTGCTTGTCTATACAGAGTACAACATTTAACCCTTCAATATATATGAGCAGTAAATAAGTGTTGCTTTCATATTCTTATGTAGAGTAATGACGATAAATTTTCATATGTGCGCACTTACATACGAGCAGTCTCACTTTTTTTTTTTTACCATTAAGTGGTTAGCTACTTATATTGTTCCATTTATTAACATTAAATAACATTACAGGTACTTCAAGCAACCATATTCATTTTTTACATTAATTTTACTGCAGCTAAACTCAGGGTCTTATTTTCTTCAGTTTTATATGTAGAACCAATCAGTCACTGGTTTCGTAAGCTTTAACATAAACAATGCCGGCAGCCGTCTCGTCTCCTCTAATATTCCACGTATTATTAATAAATTGTATTGTTAATTTTGCACACACAAACATTAATTCAATAAAAACAAATTCAGAAACATTAATTAAAATATATATGAACAGTAAATAAGTGTTGCTTTCATATTCTTATGTAAAGTAATGATGATATGTTTTCACGTGTGCGCATGCGCACTTACATACGCGATCTCTCTTTTTTCTTTACCATTATCGTTAGCTAGTTCTATTGTTCCATTTATTAACATTAAATAACATTACTTAAAACAACCATATTAATTTTACTACAGCTACAGCCAAGGTCTTATTTTCTTCAGTTTTATATGTTGAACCAGTCAGTCACTGGTTTTGTAATCAACGAAAACAATGCTGTGTCATTTCCTCGTGTGTTTTAATTTTCTACGTATTATTAATGAATTGTATTGCTCATTTTGCACACATAAACAATAATTCAATAAAAAAGATTCAGTAATAAACAATAATGAATCTTTTGTACATAAGAGAAATGACGCTGTTTACACGATTATGCACGTCGTCTGCACGTTGGCGGGCCGTTCAAACCCATCGAAATTCAAGTTTCCGCCGTCAAAATGTTTGTTTATTTATTTTTTTGTGTTCCAATAAAATACTTTAAGAATTAAAAACTCGCGAAATTTGAGAAGCTACTATACGACATTTAACCCTTCAATATGTCTTCAAAGAGACCATGATGCAGAGAAAGTGGTGCTAGTGCTTCCAAGCATAAGCACAAGTCACTATCTATCCAGGAAAAGGGTGAATTTCCATGGTCCGGCACCGGTCAGGTCCCGAGGTTGCCGGACTAGAGAGGTACAACCTGTATGTCTAATGCAAATTTTAGGATGTTTATATTTAAAATGATCACCATCTTGTAAGGATTCCAGCAATGTAAATTATATATTTTATAAGCTAAAAACATATATATCTTCAGTAAATAAACAAATTATACTTCACCCGCATAAATGATGAAATTTACGGCGTAATTAAAACATTTCATTCTGGCAAGGTGCCACGTAAATGACCAAACGCGTAAACAAAAACCGCGTAAATCCAGACTATACTGTACTGTACATACAAAGTAAAGCCAAAAATGCATGAAGTCAGAAACAATCCTAAAATTTCCCTAAATTGCCGTTAAATCACCTATACCCAGGTTGACAATCCCTTATCCGAAATCCTTGGGGCCAGAGGCATTTCGGATTTCGGAATTTTTCGGTTTTCAGAATGGTTAGTTTTTTTTTTTTTTTCCTATCCAGAGCTAAGTCACTGACCTACATTAGGTTACCAGGGCAAAAACAATAATAATAATAATAATAATAATAATAATAATAATAATAATAATAATAATAATAATAATAATAATACAGGTAATAATAATAATTCATAGGTCTAGGTCATGTTACTCACTTTTTATCTTTTTTTCATTATTAATTCATTTTTTTCTTTATTATTATTATTATTATTTTATTAATACAGTATTATTATCATTATTATTTTATTTTCGTGTATTTTTTAATTAAAATTTTTATTTTCTATGAATAATTAAGGGTATTATTAGAATTAATATTATTATTATTATTATTATAATTAGTATTACTATTACT